CAGGGACTGCTTTGGTGTTTTCTCACAGAATCTGGGTCTGTGTCCAGACATGTGGGTGTCTCTGAAAAAAGGGTAAAATACATTGGTCTAAATAGTTTTCCCCTGTACCTCTTCTTTCTCTTTTCTCTCTCACTCTCTTTTCTTTGAGTCTCTAACCTTTCCCCACACCTCTTTCTCTCTCCCTCTTATTCTCACGTCTATTTCAGCACCACGTAGGTGTGCTGTTCTAATTTAGCCGAGCCTTCATTACCACTCTCTCCAGCTGGAAAAATGACTCACTGACTGCAACACTTCTCAAAGCTACACAAAGCCCACAGGCTGTCTTACCCTATATCCTCATAATGCACTTTTGTGGAACAGAGACTTTTATTCCCTGAATGTGTGACTCAGGCTATAATGTCAGGATATAATATAATTTTGAGTGAAATTAAAAGTAATTTAAAAAAAGGTGATTTTTAGAAAAGTTGCTTGCAGTAAATGTAACCTATTAGCATGCAGTTTAACCCCTTTATTTTCTGAAGGTTCTTATTCCACACTGTCCAACATAACAGTATTTTGTTTCAGTGCTTGGTTGAATTTCAGCCAAGTCAATTCAAGTTCCCGCCTCCTACTCATGCTGACGTGCTCCAAGGCTTGATGGCCAGCTGCAAAACAGCAAACATTTTATCGTTAGTAATGACAAAATTCAACATTTCCCTTTGCATGATATCCACTTTGTCTTCATAGTAACATCATAGCTCATAGTACATGCATGCAACACTGCAGTAACCTACTGTCAGCTCTCATATGTCGGACCTTCCCACCATCACCTGAACTGCATTACTACACAACAGTAATGTAAGATTTACCTTTAAAAAAAGTAAAGATTACTACATGTTCACTGGGATTACCTCAAGGAGTTCTGGAAAGTCTGAATACCGACATGAACTGAAACCAGTGGCTGCCGAAAAATACATTTACAAATTTACATACAAATTTATGACTTGCTTTAGAAAATGATATGTTGTGATGGAAATCATAGGCTATGTGCAGGGGCAGACTCAGGCTGGCTGAGGTGCAGGGGTGGCACCATCTGCATGCAGTGGGACACCAGTGCACAGAAAGTTGTGATGTATTTAAGGTGAAATAGTTTCAAACAAATTTTCTACCATGTAGGGCTGCCTATATGGCACTGCATTGTATTTCCTCTACTGGAAGTATACCGTAGAACAGTGGTTCCCAACCTTTTTCCTGAAGGGACCCCTTAGCAAACCGACAACCCCTGACTATTTGTAGTAGTGACATATTTTATTTATATTTCATATTATATTCAATGTATAACAATAACAGTACAATTAACCAAAACAGTGAACACGATAACTGCAGGACATTTGTGTAAAACCAGAGATTTGGATGAATTTTGATCAGATTATTTTCTCTGAATATTGATCAGAAATTCGTATTCCTGATTTTTTTGTCTGTGCTGTGTTTATTTAATTTTCTACCAATGATACATACTTAATAGGCTTCTTTTTGGACAAAATTAGTATTTTCTTGAACTTTTAGTGCAGGACATGTCTGTTTATCGTGGCTAAGAGTGAAGGCTCTATGAATATAGATTATTTTCAGATACCTCAGATACTAAGTTTAGATCTTAAAGTAATAATAAAACTAAATGCTAAGATATATGCCTACTGTGTATATTTTTAAGTTTTCTTAGAGCCAAGAAGACCTTGTGCCCCCCCTTTAAGCATTGGTGACCCCTAGTGGGGGTTCCAACCCCAAGGTTGGGAAACACTACCCTAGAGGGCACAGTGTTATATTTTATACACTGTAAGGGCACCCAAGAGAGAATAACTTCATGTTTTATTCATTGGGAATAGACCATAGTGCCTCCTTATTCACTGGAAGGGCCTCCTAGAGACAAACTGTCTGTTAATGAAAATATCCAAACTAGGAATGTTCAAATGGCAAAGTGCTGCTAAGTAACATTAGTACAAAGATATAATTTTCTTTTTCCTTCTCCTCCTCCTCCTCCTCCTGTTTTCTTCTTGCTTCTCAGTCTTCTAGTCTAGATTCACACTGTTAATCCTGTGGCTTGCAGGGAAAACACCCACCTAGTTTGTTACGCAAGAAGAAGAGAGAGGATGAGTGCTGCTTAGCAGCAACAATAGGCACAGCAGATTAGTAGCAGAGCAGTTGGTAGAGAAGACAGTGACGATTACAATGTTGTGGAAGTGACTCAGACCCTGTGGAGTCTACACTATGTTATCATAGAAGCACAATATAAGAAGTCTACAGGGGGTGAACAAATATCATGGATGCACACCTCTCCCTCTCTCTCTCTC